GAATTTGAACACGCAAATAATAGACAAATAGCAATAGCTGAGGTCTGGCAAGGCTGGTAGTTTCACCTAGTGCGGAAGTCACAAGGCACTTTATGCTAAAAGAAGCATTTTTCTGTTGCTTATACGTTTGCTAAACTACAATAACTTGGGCAGTAATTTTTCCTGTTGTCTGTATTGGTCTCTTTATTTCCGGCCCTCTTCAGCCATTTTTGAAAGGACATTTTGTTCTCAAGTCAAACCCTTTTTTGACCCTTTTGGAAAGGCTGAGGCATCTCTCTGCTCTAGAACAAAAGGCTGGTAGATGAAATACAGGAATATTGTTGCTTTTCCAACAGCAAACTTTGAAAGTCTGAGAGCACCCTGTTAATCTTCTACAACTATTAAAAGGTTGTATGTTGCTAGAGGGATCAGAGTAAATATAGCCCATGGGAACGTAATTATGACTGTCCAGACTTTTGCATAAAACCAACTGCTTTCAGTTTTGCTGGCGCAGGGTAGCAGAGATGCATACATTTTCCCTGAGGGAAGTCTTAATGTTGGCATATCTGGATTTTTTTCTCTTCTGTATCAGTTCTGGCCAAGGTTTTCTTTTATTTCATATGATCAACATGTATTTTGTGGCATAACCCTAGTAAAACCCTTGCTTTGGGGTTTGTGGAGACAGGGCAGCCCACTGGCTGAGGAAGCAGCATTTCTGTTCTCTGGAACTGTTTTATGCCTGAAGCTTGTAAGGGGACTGCTAATTGCCACATCATGATCCCCCACTAGTGATGGACATGGCAAAGCCTCTCTCTTCCAAGTTCAGCTTGCTGCTTGAAATCCTTCAACCCAGTCAGTTCAGCTCCACATTCTGGAATGTCTGCAGGCAACTGCTGTAACCTGCTTAAAACTTTTGTGCATAGAAGGATTTAGGTGGCCCATGTGGCTGGAGACTTGATATAACCTACCAAGAACATACGTGAGGTGGGGATAGAGCTAATGTGAAACTCTTAAAGAGGTCTTGGGCACCCCCCTCCCAGTGACACTCAAGGTGGAGAGAGGTGGCAGAGAGCCGAGCAGATGTCAGGAATTGCATCCCTGCTACTGTCTTGTGCCTTTACAACATAAAAGGGTGAGCAACAAGGAAATATTCCTAAAGGATGTGGGCTGGGGGCCATAGGAGAAGCAAGGCAAGGGAAATGACAAGAGACTGTGGAGATTTGGAGCTGGGCTACAGCTCATACGCACCTTGGGAAGGATGCAGCTTCATGTACCCCAGCTTTGCTGAGGGACCTTGAAGGCCCCTCTGGACCATCTGAAGTCCAATGGAGTGGGTCTGAGCTGATTCTGTGGTTCTCATGCTATGGACTAATAGGCCACACTCTTGGAGGCTGTGGTCACCACAGCAATGGAGGGACAGAAAGAGAAGGGTGGGTTTGCTTTGTTTCAGTCTAAACAAGCTGGAATTGGCTGTCAGGGTGTGAGCTATATTTGCAAATTTTAAAGTAAACATGAGCTGTAGGTGATTTTTTCTGGGAGAGGTGGTGATAACATTCAGGAATTGCAATGGGCCCAGTGAACCGTTTTGAGATAATATAGAGTCAACGCCTGCGTAGATAAAGCAAGTATGAGCTGAAATACAGGTTGCAGAAGGGAGCAGTCACTTCCTTTTCCCAGTGGGGTGAACCACTGGAAATGTCCTAATACTCAGAATGGGATACCTGTGCTCTGCCTCTTGGTGAGGAAGCTTAGCCTTTTCAAGAGCTGTCTCCCCACTATATCCCTTCCTTATATACTGCTTAGCCCTCTGGTCCCAGTATTCAGCCACCTTGCTGGAGACTGAACAACAGGAATGTGCTTGGAGAGAGATTGGCATCCTTCAAGCAATCCTGGCTGTAGGCCTCTCCCAGGGGTGGCTGGAGATGAGCATCTGGTTGTGGCAAAGATGCTTAGATGTATTCTACAGCTATTACCCAAACACTTTTCAGGTTGTGTTCCGAGCCAACAGTTCAGATAAAAACTCCCAGGTGATCTTGTGCTGGGAAAATGAGGTGATGAGTTTTTTTGCAAAGGGAAACATGTTTTCCCCTGTTATGAGTGGCTCAGAGACAACCATTAAAAATAAGAACATTTCAGAAAGGCAGAGAAAATGGGCTGGGGGAAGGATTTGGGATGGAAGCAAGTTTGTTTTTTCTCCAGAACTTTGCTTTGACAAACCACAAAGGACGGTATCTGTGGAAGCTTTGAGTTCCAAGTGTTTACTAGTGTGCTACTAATCAGAGCATGAGAAATGGCAAGCAGCTAGTGCTGGGGTGCCCGGATAGCACCTTAGGCAATATTCTTAGGGCTGAGCAAATACAATTCTCCAAAACACAATAATGCTTCAAAGAGGACATCTGGAGTGTAGAGCATGGTTGGGTATTTGTTTGCCTCTTATCTAAGACCGTAACATGACCCTCATCACTGAAATTGCTTTCTCAGCTCCATTTGGGGGGGGGGGGAGGGGAGAGGGGAGCATGCATAAGGTTTCAGGGGGTAATATGCAGCCCTGCACTGATTTATCCCTTTTCAGAGGTATGATTCAATCTGGCCCCTCAAATCAAAGACAGACTGATGCACCTGGGCTTTCTTGCATACCTGGAGGCTGTCTATGATGTTTTTTGATTGCTCTATCATTGCTCTGAGGTTTTGATGCCCCTGAGTGAGAGGGTTGATAATGAGAACTGACATCCCCCGTCAGCAGGAGAAAACTGTATCTCCAAGGAAAGGTTAGCGAAGCAGCACTACCTGGGTGTTAGACTCCGGCTCAGGGTACAACGAAGAGCACTCCAGGGGTTAGCCTTCTTTCCAATAGATGTGCGTGGAGGAGCAATAGGGTTTTGGGATGTGAATGGTGGTGAAGGAGAAGGTCCCTATTGGCTTAAAGAGCTGCTTTTGCTGCTTTGTAGCTGAAACCAGAAGAAAGGGTTAGAGGAAGGAGTGGTGGCTCCCCTCCTGGCAAAGCAAACACGTGAGCATGGTGTATGGGAGGGCCACGTCCAGTGGTATTCATGCAACCACCCAATTAGCAGAACCCCCCCCCCCCCCAGTAATTTAAATAGTGATAAGGTTTTTTTTGGGGAAAAAACATAGGAAAAGAATGTTTCCCCTCTGTATTCTCCACCTTCCTTTTCTTTTTCCTCCCCATGGCTTATCTTTAGCCCTGCAAGTTCTTATACGCTAATGATGAAGGGGCACACAACCCTTTGGCATAGGGGTAGTGTCCCAGAGGAATACGTATCCATGGGAAATGATCTACCCTAGAAAAAGTGATCTGGTCTCCTGCCACTAGATGGCAAGAAGGCGGCAAGTCCTGGGCATGAAGAACAGGAGCTCTGGAGAGCTGCAAAGGAGCAACTGGGCTTGAGCGCAATCAGCTTTTCAGGACTGGGACACAGTTCTGGCTGTGGGGTAGTGAAGGTTAGGGTGGAGAGCTGGCCACAGTACTTGTTTTAGCACTTACTGTCCTCTCAGCTTCTGGGTCCTCTCCAGCCTTGATTTATCACAAAGAATTTTCCAAGATAAAAGAATGTTAGTCAGCATGCTCTCTCCTTCACTGAGGATGAGCAGCTCTTACCACCTCTGGTTCCAGAAGGCTTAATTCTGTGGTTTTTACTCATGCTATTATTTTTGCCATCAATCTGTGACCTTTAGATGTGTTGGAGATGTGTTGGTTTTTGATATAAACTTGTCAAAGTCAGTGAAAATTACTAAATTAGAACAAAATTTCTGGAAGCAAAGACATCTCGTGCCTGCCCCAGGAGGGCTTTGGTGGCTGTGTTTTCTGGCCACTAGGCATAGGATTGTGCTCTGGCTGCTACAGCAGAGTCCAGTGCAAAAGCGAATCTCTCTGCTGCCCAACAGCTTGCTAGCCCAGCTACAAAAGCAGAAGGGGATCCTGGGTGGTCATTCTTCAGAAGGCAGAACCTCACTGTAACTCAACCAGACACAGAAATCACACACTCTCCCTGGTGGCTTTTACACTGTTCACAACTAGGCAATGATTTGATAGTGCCTGCGGCACAGAATGCACGGGGACAGGTTAAATCAGGAACTTGTTTCTAGGTCAGGGCTGAAGTAAACCAGTCTGAGTAGGGTATTAGATGAGCATTAAGTCTAGAAGGTCCTTGTAATACACTGCAGTCCATTGGCAGAGTGGCACAGTGAATTTATATTGCTCCCCTGAGTGCAACACTTCTCTTCTGTGCAAAGAGATAATTAATTTCCTCATTTTTGTATTCCCCACCCCTTTTTCCAGGACCATTCCCCCAACCAGTAGAGACAATCACCTGTAAAAATACACTTTCCAAATGGTCCCTGAGCTCTCTCTCTCCTTGTCCCCATGCAGGTTTCAGTGGGGCCACATGACAGGTGGTTGGGATGTGGGCAAGGGAAGAACAAGGTAGCAGGAGCTTTGCTGGATGAGTGTGGGGCTCTTGGCTTGGTGTCCTGGGTTGTGCCATGGTCAACATCCAAGGCAACCTCAGTGATGCTTGAAATGACTGCAAGGAGTGGCCATGTCCCACGTCCCTGTTTGTTCTCTGGGTGAAGCTGGTGGCCCCATATAGTCCACCACTGCCATCCTTCTCTATCTCCGTGCCTCTTGTGAGGGTAACTGCAAGGGTGGCCAGGTGCAGAGGTATCACTGTCTTGGTCTGATGGTAGATCTACTCTTCTTTGCGTAAGCAGAGGGCCATGGAGGTGGTGACTTGGGCTAGGTGCTGAGTTCACCTGGGAAACATGGTCCTTCCCTTTGCCCCTCTTAGCATGTTTGCACTGCGCCAAGCACGTAGAAGCCCAATAGATGGCAAAAGGTTTCGGTGGAGGGACAGCACATGTTCCAAGTGGGTTGCCCAACACTCAGCGGAGCATGGCTGCTTAGTGGGGGAAGGACAAGCACTTCTAAAGGACAAAAGCTAATACCTCGGGCCCTGCCAGCACAGACCTACCTGGTGAGAGTGAAACTGGACTATCTTGCAAAAACACTTTGGGTAAACACACCGCTCAATGGAAAGCATCTGATAAGAGCTGCTGCGTTTCTGGTGGCTCAGTCAGGAGGACTTGGTGCTCCCATTAGTTCTGCGGCTTCATCAGGGCCGTCTCGCCTCCTCTCTCCGAGGGACCCATCATGTCCACGACCATCTGCCAAGTGATGGGGTTCATCATTTCGTCGCTGGGTGTTGCGGGGTGCATGGTGGCCACTGCCATGGATATGTGGAGCACACAGGACTTGTATGACAACCCGGTCACAGCCGTCTTCCAGTATCAGGGACTGTGGAGGAGCTGCGTGAGGCAGAGCTCCGGCTTTACAGAGTGCCGGCCATATTTCACCATTCTTGGGCTGCCAGGTAGGGTCAAAAGATCCACTAGGTTTAACCCAGCTATCCTGTAGCTCTGCACAGTTTTCATCCAAAAGTAGGAGCAGATATCTTAAAGCAGTTTGCAGGGAATAAAATTTCCAAGCTTCCCAGATCCGTGCATAGGTTTTACCAAAATAATACCTTTATTCAGTGGAGTTTACCACTTGGGAGTGTGTGTAGGTGAGCTCTGGATGAGCATCATAGTTTCAGCCCCCTTGTATGATAAGAGCATGGTGGGGGCTTACAGCACTGCATCCTTAGTGATGCCAACCTTGCTTCCCAACTGTGAGGCAGGAGGGAGAGTTTTGCCGAAGACCCCTGTGTTATCTGCAGTGGTTGCTTTTTGACCGTCCTGAGGGGTGTGATGAAGTAAATGTGTTTCCATGTAGCCAGCTTCAAGATTGCTAGTTGAGTCCTGTTTCATTTGGAAGGGCAAAACTGATGATTGAGATCACTTCTTCTTTGGGACCACTTGTTCTGAAGGCTAGAAAATATATTTATTAAACTATATATGCAAATGTTGATCAGCATATAGATATGTCTTTATAATACCATACATAAGTGATTGTGTTTTAAAAGAGCAATGAAATAATGGTAACCATATTTTGAAGCCAATTTATCATAATCAAGATTTTATTTTTAATTTTATTTTTGGATAATATAGCAATAGGGAAATGTGTAAAGCAGTCGCAGACATTTTCTGTTGTGTTTGAGAGATCGTCTTTCAGTTTTGTTATCTTTATGTGTCTGTTTAGTTGATGAGTACCTTCAAACATAAAGATGGAATGCCCTTGCTTGAATCTGGTTAAACCCTAATTTTCCCCCTAAACCTTTTATATTCCATAAATCATAACTAGTCATAAAGTTTGATTTCCACTTTTGTATTTTGTATTAGTGACAGAAATGCATGTGATGACTTTAAATTGTTTTACTTCGCCCACTTCTCACTACTCACATCAACAGTGAAGAAAAATACAGCTTTTCAGTTTCACTTCGATCAGACAAGCACAGTGATGCAAACTGTGGTTTCAGATCACTGACATCTATTTTGGTGAATAAGCTTGCATTTTTATGAATTTCTGTGCACATCATCCTTTTGTATGGAAATCAGTTGTGCAAAAGAGCACCCCCATGTGTGCAGGTAGAAGCAAAGCTGTCGTACAGTATGCAAAGTGTGTATGCAACAATAGCAAGTAGTTTCTGTGCTTGCTTTTAACTATAGGGCTGTTTGCTACCTAGTGCTCCTGATTCCTGACACGTTTTTTTCCCTTTAGTCTTCCATTTTGTTTGTCTAAGCCCTTCCACTCCTTCCTTCTAGGGGAGGTCATTCACCTTTGGAAAGCCTCTCTATTCAGAGGACTTTTGATGGATGACAAAATTCACTTGAAAATGCAGTGCTCTCTTTCTAAACAGCTCTCACTTTCATTCCCATGAGCCAAGTGAAGAGGTCTTTATATCACAGCAGACCTGGGAGCAGTTTCTTCTCCTTTCTGTTCCTTTGTGGACATGGGGTGCATAAGTCAGCTTCACGGAGAGAGGAATTGCTGATGATGGCTATTTTGCCTTTTTTCTATTGTGTCCTGCTGAGTTCGTCCCTCTCCCCAACAGCATTGCTCCTTTTCAATGGAGATTCACCACACTGGGACTTCAGTGCTCCAGGAGAAGAACAATGTCCCAGGAGCTGTTTGGCTTGGCCTGTCTGTTGTGTCCTTCCACGGGTACTTAAGGCACTGGGAACATCTCTCCTGGGAACCCACAGTATCTCTGTGAGGTCTTAGCTTAGGGTCATTTCTTAATTGGTTGAGACCATCACAGTGATGTCTGTAGGAGGTATCTCAAGAATGAAGGACTGTCTTGGGGACAAGGACCTTCCATCGTGATCTCTAGTGTCTTATGCTGGCTTGGAGTATCAGCCTCTCCTGCCTGCCTGAAACAGAAGCGGTTGCAAAGAAAACTTAAGTGACTGTAAAGACAAATGAATGTTGTGATTTTCATTTCTTTGCAGCTTTCTGCTTTGCATCAGGTGCTGTGTGAACAACCTTTGAGGGCTGATAAGATGTATCCACCAGCTTCTTGTTCTCTGATGAATAACTAATGAGCTTGCACCTGGGGGCTGATGAATGGGAGATTGAAAACCCTAGGCTCGTTAGCACTTGTTATCAGCTGATAAGGACAAATTGAGTCATAAGAACAGCAGCCCCAGTGGGACTGCCAGATGGGAGAAGGTGGTATATTCCCAGCCTGTGGGATGGCAGACTGCCTGCTTCTTCATGCATCATGGTGCCAGCATGGTTCTGCTCAAGTTTATGGTACCTCACAGGCAAGGAGACCCACATGGGCACCCCAGCACCCACCCTTGCCCTCCTGGAAGGGCTTATAGACCGTTCTCTCTATCTGTGCAAGCCCAGAGGGGTCTGCTCCCTGCTCTATACAGCTCCAATGCCTCCTGCTGCAGTTGGGCCATTTGGACCCTTGAGCACCATGATGATCCTGGCTATCCCATAAAAACAGGTGACAGGCAGGTTGAATGAAGTCCCTGGGGCTGTAGAATATGTTGCCTGCCTTTCTCAGTTGGACACTACCCCACATTATCTTCCCTGAAGATGGTCAGTCATGTGGGGAGCATCAAAGCCAAACTCAGGGTTGCTAGTGCTCATCAAACAGCAAGAAGAGGCTGCAAAGTATCCCAGTCAAATCGCAACAGCCCTTGAAATACCTTTGACCACCTTCTCCTAGTGTTCTGCCAACACTGTGCCTTCTGTCTCTGCCAGGTACACGTGCGCAGGCAGGGAGGAGAAATGTCTGGGGCCAGCACTGAATTTCAGGCAAGATGGGATGTGTGCCATCTTATTAGAAAATCACCTTGGTATTCAAGTACATGGCCTTCCCTGTTCACTTCTTCATTTCAAAAGGGGCAAGTTTCCCCACGCTTTTCCCTCTTCTTTTCTCTATCCAAAGGGAGTCTGGGGGGCTTTTGCCACCTTCTGCTGGCTGACAGCAGCTCTCAGTTCCCATGGGCATGACCCACCAACATCACAGCCTGCCTCCAACAAAGCATTCCCACCTTGGTGGCAGGCTACTAAACGAATTTGGGGCTAGAGTATTTACATGTTGTATTAGTGAATGTAGACAGATTTATACAGGACTGATATTACAAATTACATGGAAATGATATGCTGGGGCAGGTCATTGCCAAAGCTTTGTTGCTGTTTCTTGGTGTATGTGTAATGTTTGTCAAGGTAATATTCCTCTTCCTCTGTGCAATGTGTTTTACTGTAAAGCAGGAACTTACAGGACTCCATTTCGAGTCACGCATTAGTTGGAAATATCATGGATAGCTGGGTGGAGCTGCCTGCTTTCATCACTGCTTGGGGAGAATAAAAAAAGGAAGCTTTCTCAATTAATTTGTTTATGAAACCATTCTTATCCCAAATGTATACAAACTGCTCTCCATGAATTTCAGCTGAATAAATCACAACTGTTGCTAATAAGCATTTACAAAAATTTATGTCTAAGCCATCAAACTCTTGACAAAGAGCAACATTTCCAGAGGTGTCCCAGACAAATCAAAGAGTAGACCCAATGCCCATTTCCCAAGGTTTTCTTCTTTAATATTTTTATTTTTAGACAGAAACAATGTTCAAAAACCTCCTAGGCTCTGACAAATGTCATTTCAGGCACTCAGTGTGATCCTTGTTGATTTGTTTTGCAGCAATGTTCCAGGCTGTGAGGGCCCTCATGATCGTGGGTATTGTCCTGGGCATCCTTGGCCTCCTTGTGTGCATTTTTGCTCTGAAATGCATTCGTATTGGCAATATGGAGGATTCTGCAAAAGCCAGCATGACTCTGACCTCTGGCATCATGTTTATTGTTGCTGGTAAGTGGATGGTGTTGTGTCCTTCATGTATGAAGCATTGCAGTTGCCTGGAATTGAGGACTGGCCAAGTCTTTACACATTTCTGGTCATAGGTAGCAGATGCTCCGGAGCAACCCAGAGCACTGATGCTTGCATGAAGTTATTGGCATTTGTCTTCCAGCCTGACCTCCTGGGGTCAAGTGGTTTCTACCTCTGTTTAGTAAAAGAAAACCAGAATTTTGTATGTGACACAATGTAGAAGGTTGAAAAAACAGACGACATATAAAAAAGAAAATCTTTTTTTTTTTTTTGTTGTATGTGTACCGTTATGTACTAATATATCTTTAATTTATACATAATGTTTTTTGAAGAGTTTCAGGCTTTATACATAGCAATTTTATGAAGATTCTCAGAGTTGCAGTAGCTTAACTTGCAGTTTTTAAATACCTTGGGTTATCAGGAAGGCTGTAGGAATGTCCAGTGCTGCCCAACTACCTTGAAATTGCAAAATGCTTAATATATCACTTACAGGTTTTCCCACAATTTTTTGCAGATGAGTAATCAAATCTGTATCCTAGTTAAGGGAAGGAGAATGTCCCTATTTGAAATCCTTATAGTTGAATGGCTATTAACTTTTGTTGGGATATGAGACAATACAACTTTAAGATGTGCAATAAGCACAAGTTTGATAGAGGAAACTAGAATAATAAAAAATAAAAAGAATAAAGAAAATAATAGTGAAATATGAAATAATAATGCCATTGCTGCTGGGCTGGGCATCACAATGATCACCTTTGCATAAGTGGAAGAAGTTCCTGCCTCTTCATTCTGGTCTTCCAGGCTGTCTGCTGCCTGGAGGCATCATTACCTAGTGATGAAACAAATGTATCTCCTCTTCCATGTGAGAGAGAGAGGGTGTTTTCCCATGCAAAATCTAATTTCTGTTATGGAATCTTTTGGCCATGTTTTTCACTGTAAAACAATTTTCTAGAACTGAACTAATGGGTACTTTCAGCAGCTAAAATGATCTGTTTGTTTAACTCATTTTCTGTGAGAAAACACATTGTGGGTCCGCACTTATTCTGAACATGCTGAGACACAAACCAGCATCTCAACCGCCCTTCCAGAGCTTTAAGCTGTTTCCCCAAGTCCAAAGGTGACTGCTTAAACTACATGGGTCTCAGTCGGTCTCTTTGTCTGATCTCAGGTCTTTGTGCCATCACTGGAGTGTCCGTGTTTGCCAATATGCTGGTCACAAACTTCTGGATGTCCACAGCCAACATGTACCAAGGAATGTATCAGAATGTCCAGAACAGGTAGGTGGTCAACTAGCTCAGGGTGCTCCACAGTGCAGATTTCCTTCAGGGCCAGGGTAGGCTGCAGCTTAAGGAAAAGCAAACTCTGGTTGCATATTAGTCCGGTCTCAGGACTCGGAAGATTTATTGAGTCTCTTTATTATCTGAGCTGGAGATAATTTTTCCCAGAAAATTGGCTGGGATTTCTCTGTTCACACAGCTCAAGAAGGAGGTAGAGTCCATTGAGGATGAGCTGGCAAGTGGGATGGTGCTCACAGGAACTTCTGAAGGGCCGAAGGGAGAATGATTATACTCAGTGCATTTCAGAAGAAGCAGACTAGCCCACTGTCAACAGCCCTCACCAGCAATGTCTTTGTGTTTTGCAGGTATACCTTTGGCTCAGCCCTCTTTGTTGGCTGGGTGGCAGGTGGTCTGGCCCTCGTAGGAGGCATCATGATGTGCCTGGCTTGCAGAGGGCTGATTCCAGAAGAATCCCGGTAAGCTTATTTGTGGTAGACATGGGAACGCATCGCAGGACACCTTGGGTGTCCAGATTGCAGACAGCCAGCATGCCACAGGATATAGCTATGCATAATACCCCTGCTGCAAGAGTCACCATGATGATAGCTCTGTATCAGGTCAAAAGTAACCATTTCCTTTCCCTGACTGCATGACTTGTGAACAAATAGAGAGGGCAGGAGAGATCAACCTTAAAATCAAAATGTGCAGTGTGCTGGCTTATTCAGGCCCATTAATTGCAGCTTTGGTTGTAAATTGCATAGCATGTCACCAGCAGGTATAGATCGCATCATCTGAGCTGTGATTTACATCAGGTAGGGCTTTGTACACCTATGTAGCTTGTTATTGTGGGTGGGTATTTCAATCAAGGGTTTACTCATGGGAAAGAAAGCATAAGTTTATTAAAATACTTAGATTTGCAGACTGCCATGGATGGTTTGCTCTGAGCTCATTGAGTGTCTCCAAGTTATGACACAGTACAAAGCTGCCTAAAATCCAGTGGCGAACAGGAACAGAGGATGAAACACTGGGTAGTCACAGGCCCTCCAGATGGCTGATCCCATCCTTCGTGTCTCTTTTAGTTACAAAGCAGTATCCTACAATGCTTCGGGACGGAATATCTCCTACAGAACGGGGCCGTATAAGGTTGCTTCAGGGTATGAACCTGAAACGAAGACTAAGAAAGGTGCAGGGTATGAAGAAGCTGCTCGAAGTGAGGATGGAAGACGCTCGTACCCTTCAAAATATGACTATGTCTAGTAGACTTTCTGAGCTTGATTTGCTCTATCTTTCATAAAATATTTTTAACTTCAGAAGCAAAAAGTACATGCAAACTAAGCAGTTTGTAAATAGGATTGTGTTTTCTATCACGTTTTCACTACTCTGAGGTTTTATTCTAGCTTGTTATGAGCATCAGTTTTATTTGACTGCCTGCTAGTTTGCCTACCATAAGGAGGTCTATACAAAAAGTAATGCCTTTTAATGCTGTCAGAGTAGAACAGTTTGCTCGTATTTTATGTATAAACTCTGATATCCAGTACCAGGATTATGCCTTGTGATCTTTTCTAATTCCTCTAATAGGTTAAAATTCCCATTTAATAATAGCCCAGATGTAAAAGTGATGCTACCCCTTTGATCAGGCTTTCATGCAGTTTTGCAGTGTCATCCTCTACTTTCTCAGAGTCTGGAGAGATGAACAGTATCCTGTGACCTCAGTGTTCTCCAATCATCAGAAAAACCAGTGTATTGTTGAAGTGATAGAATACTCTGATCTGGTTTTGACACTTGAGGTTTTGGCTTTTGTATGAAGGTTTTTTAGCAGTTTGAAAAGCAAAAACTACAATCTAGTAATCTCCTATATTATTCTGCTGTGTATTTATATTCAGTTGTATCCCTCTGGCTGTGGCAAATGCATACAGACCCCATAGTCAAGGCATTTTCCTCCCCGGTGACTCTTTCTACTCAGACACACCTTTGCTTTGCTGGTTGTACTACAATGCTGATCTGCTGTGATATTTAATCTGATTTATGTTACTTAGACATTTGCTATAACCTGTGATACCGAAGTGTATTTATTTCTTCTGATCTCTCCAGGGAATATGTATAATCCATTGTTATTCTTATGCTAGATATTTGCTGTAATAGCTGAAAACCTCTGTGTGCGACCGGTGTTCCTGCAGATGTCATCTTTAATGAAGCCAGAAGAATTTCTCATTTAGAATTAATTAGAGTTACATTTGGAGCAGAAATCCCAGGGAGCATTAGATGTGTAACTGCACACTGACATCATGACTTTCTTGTGTTAATTCTTCCCCCAGTGATGTGAAGATTAACTCCTTAGTGGGACATTGCCTCTTCTAACCAATCCATCAGAGGAAGTTTATTTGAAAGGGTCAGAGGAAGAAACACAGGAGCTTATGTGGGAAGGGAGAACTGTGTGCCTTTAGCATGTCCTCCCATGTAGCTCCCAAGTAGTTTTTAGTGAAGTTCTGAAAAGTGCCTATGAGCAGATCAAAGGGTACTAAGGGATAAGATGGAGAGAAAGAAGAGGTCCAAAACCTCCAAAGCAGCCATTTTTGATAGCTATCTGCAATAAGTTTTAGTTACAATTATAATAATTATATATTCTCTGTAGGAGTTCATCAGCAAAATTGTTTTGGTGAAATGCTGATAATCCCTTGAGTGGTTTCATGTTCTGGAGGAATCAGAGGTAGAGCTGAACATTTCTTCAGAGCTGAACCTTTGGTAGGTCAAGCTACCAGTCTACCTGGCATCTCTGGTGGCTTGTATGAATAAGGCGGGCAGGCTGTCTCACTGAACATCAGTGCTCTCGGTGAGGGTGAACATAAACCATACCAGCTCTCCCTAACCATCAACTCTCCAGATCCACTAAGATGCATGTCACCAGCGCAGGTCCAGGAGATGTGGATTGACTGCACTTCGGGCAGGTCAGTGAAAGGAGAAGGCAATGCCTGGTAAGGTGCATCACCAGGGGCTGATAGCTGGAGGAGATGGCCGCCATGGTGAGAAGAGTTTCCATTCAACAGAAACTCTTGGTCCTGTCTCAGGCTGGATGTTGGCTCCTGCTGCCAACATATGGAAATCTCTCCTGGATGTCAGTGCTGACTCTCCCTTTCATATTAGTGAGAGACTTGTCTTAAGGATGTGTTTTTAAAGAACAGTTTAGTTTTGCAGAGGTAAATCCTGTCCTATTTTAAAAACACTGATATTCTGTACAATGGTTTTGTCCCCATCTCTCAGTATAGACATAGCTTTTTTTGTCTTTTTTTGCATGCTGGATTTTTTTTGTTGTTGTTGTTGTTAGTTATTTTTTTCTTTTTTTACATTAATATTAAAACTGAAAAAGCCTTTAACACCAAAATCACTGTTTTCTCTGGTTCTTTCCTTGTCACAAGCAGCAGCTATTGACCTTCCCACTCAGCTAAACTCACCCCAGCTTTGGGCTCTGCAGGTTCTTTGGAGCAGTATAAGCAAGTATGTGTGGTTGAGATAAAAAATAGACGACAATTATTTGTTCTTCTTTGTGAGACATAGTTATATGCTGAGACAAGATATCAGAGAAGCAGATGAATAAGCATCAGGGGACCCCAACCCGCTGATGCAATGAAATCAGAAGTCCTTGCTGAGACCCTAGGCTTGCTGAGGAATACAGTTCAGCAAGTACATGGTTCTTTTGGGGTTTGAGGCCACTTTGGCCAGGCCAGCATCCACCCAACTTTCAATGTAGCTTTTTAAACACGTGTAAGTACTTCATTGTTCTTAGGAGGGCAGAAAAATTGCTGGTATGCTCTCAATCCTGACAGTCTCCACTGAAAAGGGGCTGAAAAGCACAGGAATGTTTAATTTAGATAGGAAACACGTAAGTGGTGATTAGGTAAAGGTACACAGGGCAATGAAAAATACAGAAAAAAACCCCAGAAGAAATGGAAATCAGGTTTCCAACTGCATTAGAACAAAAAAGGGTGCACGCATAAAATCACAAGTAAGCACCTTTGAATGTTACATTTATTTTATATGCAACACAAATGCTCTGACAAACTCACCGAGTTAACTATCTCTCGGTTTCCCTTTGATGTGTGCAAGTGTGTAGATGACAAGATTGCAGGCAGGAGCATTATGGAGGGCGGCAGAGACCTGAAACAGAGCTGTAGCAGGAATTCTTGCCCTCAGTTGATTTCTGATCTTCCAGCATCAGTTTTCATTTCCTTACCTCTGCCGAAATCCTGCAGTATAAAATATATAATGCAATGAACTTTACTGAAAAAATAATAAATCAGATTCCAAAGCAGAGGATAATTTATGAGCCTGTTTGCAGTATAACAACACCTGCTCCCCCCTGTTTGTGGCCATACTGGACCTTATCTTGTGGTGAGTACCATGAGTGGTGAGCATCATGCACCGGGGGAATGACAGTGTGGGGAGAACCAGCATCTGCAGTCACTGAGTTCCTGCTGCAGAAAGCATGTGGTGTTTCCCTATCTTGGGACATGGGCCCAAATATCTCATTTTCAGCTGCACTGAGCTGTGATCTGAAAGCCCTGCAGCTGAAACCACCAGCTTAGACAAAGCTCTGGGTCTTTACTGAGAACCAAGCTTTCTTCTGCAGGCCAAAAAATATATGCGGATACTCTAATAATTTATTGGACTTTAGGAAAAAAGCAGCTCAAAAAGCACCCCAGGATGACTCAGCATTGACTTGGAGACAGCTCGCTGTGTCCCAGTGCTGTTATGTGCCAATGCACACTTGCAAAGGACACAAAACCATACGCCACATCCACAGCCCACAGTGCTAACGGCCAGTTGCACAGGGAGGTGGGATGCCCAATCTATATGCTGGCTTGGGGTACTCCCTGGGGTCACTCACCCAACACACAGTCTCTGTACCCTATGCTGTGTACTGCAGGGAGGCATTTAGGGATGAAATTAGGCTTAGAAACTCAGCACCAAATGCTTAACTACGCTGCTGAAAGGAGCAGCATGCTGCTCTCACCAGCTCACCCTGCAGGCAGAAACTCCTGGAGGGTACAGTGCCATTCCAAGCATGCAGAGGAATGCCATCCTGCTTTGCTGCCTGATTGGAGTTTTGGTAGAGCAATTAAATATTTGCTGTGCTGGACTGGGCTTGCTGGCTTGACCCATCACACAGCAACAGGAGGTCTGTGCCTCTAGAAGTCTTCATCTGAGTAAAACCTGGAAATAACTATTGGAAGGCAGATATGGAGATCCCTTGGCCCCATGAATAAATCCAGTATTTCCTCTTGCTCTTGCTGATGGTGAGGAAGGAAAGACCCTCCCTCTCCTGTCAATTATTTTGCCTTTATTGATAATAAACTGTGGGGCAAAGGATGCATATGGTAGCTCTTACAGAGCCAAGGGAGATGAGTCAGGGAAACTGTGACTGGTGAAGCATGCGGGTGTATGTGTGCCTGCACTCAGAAATGGGTTTCTTTCCATAAATTTGATTGTCTTCTGAAAAATGTATATCCTGTTTCAGAGGAACTAATTAAATATAGGCTTGTCTACTAGAGCAAGTTCTGAAAAGGCTGTGTGCATTATCTGCCAGAAGAGCTCTATATAGATTCTTTCTGAGCTTCTGCAACATTTATAAGTATGTAAGAGCACTGTAGATTTGTGTGGACTTTGACCAAGGGAAGCAAAGACACGTGTCTGAAGCTGCAAATTGGACTATGGATAAGAACTCTCCTGAAATCTATATGCAATTAAAAGCCCAATCTTCCTTCCTATAGTGACAAGGTTATTGCTTTTATATAGCTCAACAGAGATGAATGAGCCTACTGATTAATAGCACCAAGATTTATGACACTGTGCTTGCCCCAAATATGATGGGAGAATAGCTCTCTGGGTGAGATATTCTAGCTGAATAAATTTGACATGATTTTTCTTTTCTTTTTTTTTTTTTTTTTTTTCCAGCTTGGTATTATTTGGGATTGTTGCACTGCATTCAGAGATCGTTAGTGCTGTGGTTTGAATATCTACTAATTGCCCCATATATATCCATGCTTTATAGAACTATTACCAATAACTAGAGCCCCGCAAAGACAAATGTCATTGATAAAGACAAAACACAAAGCATGATATTTTAAAGACCATGACACTCTAATGGCATTAAATTCTTGGCAAGGGCCTGACCTTGCAGCGTGGACAGGCATGTGTGCTGCAGCCCATGGACCAAGCCTGCGCCACCACCTTCTTCACTACCCATGAGCAGGGCAGGCTGGTGGGCTGGATTTGAACTGAGGAACAGCAGTGAAGACTTGAGAGGTAAGGGGATATGTTATCAGGCTCTGAGAAGCACTGGCAGCATGAGGACAGGATGCCTGTGGTTTGCCTGCTTTCACTGCTAACAAAGTCTTGCTGTCTTATGGCATTGCAGTATCCTCACAGGTTGAGGCAAATGAATTTTGGAGGTGGCTGTTGTTCCATTGTTGTTTTCCTGCAGGAAAAGCCAAGTTCATTTCCTTAATTCAGTCACAAAGAAATCTTTGTGCAAAGGGAATACCAGGACACCCATCTGCCTATTTAACCTCGACTGCGAGCAAGAGTCCCCACTTGCACTTCTGACTTTGTTTTCCACTGTGCTTTTTCTGTCGGTTTTGTTTTATTCTGCTTTCTTTTGCATTCAGGATGCAGCAATACACCTGATTGGGGAGCATCTCAGCTGTTCTCCGCTGGTTCGGTATCGTGCAGCCCAGCAGTGATAACAATGTGGTCCAATTTGATGGCATCAAAAAAATATCCTAAAAAGGGGTACACAAGCAGTTGCTTTATCTCAGAAGGAGTCCATGAAGCAATAGCGGAAAAAAATTGAAAAATTTAAAAAATATTGAAAAAAAACATTCTTTTCTGAACAAGGCACACTGATGATGGAGCTCATCTCAGAGTTGCTTCTCCCTTTCACTTTCTCTTCTCAGAGCCCACCACCTGTGATAACCCAAGGTGAATCTTCAGGTTCTTCTATGTCCACTGTGCATTCTCTGCTATTTGGCTTTGTCTGTGTCTATATTTATTTACTTGCAAGAGCATGAGTGTCACCTTTCTTTTAGCACAAGGCTCTCACCTATTTTTGGAGTTTCCCAAACTCAGGGGACACTTTTCCCCAAATTTCTGTCACCGTCTGGACTTGGTGTTGAGCACATGAAGCTCACTGCAATGACTCAAAAGCACCTCAGGCGTGAAAATTGTTGGTAAAAAGAGCAATTCATGCGCTGGTCAGCAGGAGAATATGTGCAGGAGCAGCAAAAGCAGCCAGACCTGGGGCTGGCAGGGTTTGATCAGCAGCTGGCAGGATGGGTGTGATTTAGATTTTAGTGCTGGGCAGGGCACCTGCCTTGGCACTGAGTTTGCCACGTAGTCAAGGCAAAAGAGCTTCTGCTTTGCCATTTCACTACCTGCTTGCTGGTTTGGACAGAAACTTCTTTCCCCCTTGGTTTGGGAAAACATCCCTCCTTTATTTAATTCATTAAAAGCAGTGTTCGTTGTGATCACCACTCACCGAAAAGAACAGCTGTTAAATTTAGCATGAAGTGACACATCTGGCAATAACATTGTAAGCAACAATAAACACAAGCCAGGTAAAAACTTGAATTATTAAAATGGAAAGTAATTATTTTCAAGGTATGGAGCTACAGAGGCATGCCCTGTGGGTGTGTATAAGCACATACCAGGAGACACGGGAATTTGTAAAATATGGGGAGGAAATGGGTCTGGATGTTTGTGAACAGTTTGCTGAAATCATGTTAATATACAGTGTTCTGCTTAGCTCTGGCTGGGCTTTCTGCTCCCTAGCATTAAAACCCACATGCAAATGTTAGAAATAGGGAATAGTAGAAGTCTGAACCAGCAGTGGAATGGGTTAGAAAAGAGAAGATAAATTGAGAAGTGACAGTTTTTCCTGTTGTGTTTTCCAAAACGTCATACTTTTAAGGGGTCAGGATCGTAAATGCACTGCTCCAAATGCACAAAATACAGAGGAGTAGGAAAATGAACTAAATCTACATAGATGAGCACTATCAGCAGAGTTTAGTGTATGAGGTCAGTTTTAGAGTGCAAAAAATGGTCCTTTGGGTTGGAGTTTCCATCTATTCAAGAAGGAAAGGAAGAAGGAATCAGCAACTTGTGGCTTGCTATTCTGTCTGTCCAAGTGCATTCAGGCCAGGTTCCTCCTAGAGCAGAAAACAAGACCCTTTTCATCACCCTCAAAAAGCACCAGCAAAGAGAGATGCAGCAAGAAGGAAAGCTGCTTTCTTCTCTTCCTGACTCTGTTTTCTGGACTGCTTTAAAGAATAAAAAAGCCACACAGAAATGTTAGGCCGTGTCTGGTGCAGAGAGCTGGACCCAGCCTGTGGGATGCGAAACTTACGGCTTTTGGGGCTCAAAAAACCTCCTGGCACTGTCAGACATTGTGTTACTGCTTAACGTGCATGATGAAGGGAGAGGAGAAATCACTGCTTTTCACACCACGCAGCATTTGTCCTTCTTGCTACGACCCACAGCGGCTCTCCAGGGACGACACAACTCCCTGTGCTGTCTAGGAAAGCCTCAGCGTTGGGATATTGCCAAAAAGAGGGGCAGCCCTGGGAAGGCTGCACAGCAGCTCCTGCCCGTTTCTGGTCTTGTGGCACCATCCAGTGGCAGCTGGCAAAACATTGTCACTTTCTGGTCGCCACGTATTGTCCCCCCTTGCAGCCTGCCTCTGCGGGGCCTTGGGGACCGAGGTGGTTCCCAAAATATCAGTGATGGCTTGGCTGGGCCCTGCAGGAAGGAAGACCTTTTTTTTTTTCTTCCTAAAAAAAACAGTGTGATTCTAACACTGCCATCAATTTAATTACATCAGCTCTGCCTCATAAATTGAGGTTATGTTTAAGTCCCGTTTTAGTAATTTAATTGCATCAATTTAATTGCCATTGCATCACTCCAATTATCACTAGATTTGTTCCAGAGACCTTCTCTCAATTTGATTCTCTGGCTCTTACTGTTTTGCTCCCAATTACGTGAATCCTGAGTTCTCTCTCTACAAAGGGGGTGAGTGAAAAAACATTTGTCAGGGTGAGTAGCACCAGAAAGGATGCCTTCAACATCAGAGCAAGAGGAAACACAGTGTCCAGGAGCCTCAATTCAGAGCAGCAAGAGCCACCAAGGGAGCCCCAACCAAGCCGAGTGCAAGGTCCTACACCTGGGTAGGAGCAATCCCAGGCACAGCTACAGGTTGGGCAGAGAAGAGATTCAGAGCAGCCCTAAGGAGAAGGACTTGGGTGTGCTGGTCGATGAGAAAATGAACATGGGCTGGCTTCAGTGTGCGCTCACAGCCCAGAAAGCCAACTGTAACCTGGGCTGCATCAAAAGGAGCATGACCAGCAGGTCGAAGGAGGTGATCCTGCCCCTCTACTCTGCTCCTGTGAGACCTCACCTGGAGTATTGTGTGCAGTTCTGGTGTCCTCAACATAAGGAAAATTGTCCCCATAGCCATTTGGGCAAGATACCTGGAGTTTCTTGGTGGGCTGGCCAGTGCTGGGGGATGCCAAGCTCCCATCTGGGAAGAGTTTCACCCTGCTGGGCGGTCCCTGTGCCACTGCATCCAGGTGTCTCTCCAAAAGCCTCACCATCCTGGATGTGGCTGTCCCTATGCAGGGCAGAGCCAGATAAACAGGGAGCACCAAGGTAAGGTAATGGCACACGCGGATGAGAAGGGAGGGGGCCACCAGGCATCCCAGGGTGAGCTGCTTTCTAAATAGCTTAAACTCGCTAGCACTGCCTGGACCCATCCCATTGGTGCTGTTTCAGGAAGCAGATGTTTTGTGGGTAGGATGAAGCATGGGGGGTTTCCCTCCCTGAGCAAGCACTGGGTGAATAACACCCCTGTGTGAGAGGGGATGCTGGAGGAAATCTCCGCACACGCAGCCCAGGTCAGCAATGTGTGACACAACACCAACATCTCTTTTTTGGCCTAGAGCACACCACAGCCATGTGCAAGGAATACTTGCTGATGTTTATGGTTAATGCATAGGTGAGAGGTGCCTGCCACTGCTCCTCAGTTCCCTGAGGGGCCACAGGAGAGTCCCCACATCATCTCCTGCAAGTGGTTCCCAACAGGTTTTACAGCATAAAGCAAACTGTTAAAACAAGCTTTCCTTCTTATGTTTGTCAGCCCTTTGGGTCTTGTGGGGTTCCCTGAATCCTCTAGACAGTCCGCTTTCCCCCTGTGCAGAGGAAGAGATGAAGCTCTACTGTGCCCTAGGAAAAAGGGGTTGATACCAATGCGTGAAGGGGGCTTTTGTCACTACAACGGCATATAGTGACAGGAAAAGAGGTAAGGGCTTTAAAATGAAAGAGGGGAGATTTAGATTAGATATTAGGAAGAAGTTCTTCCCTGTGAGGGTGGTGAGGGGTTGGCACAGGTTGCCCAGAGAAGCTGTGGCTGCCCCATCCCTGGCAGTGTTCAAGGCCAGGCTGGTCGGAGCTTGGAGCAACCTGGTCTAGTGGAAGATGTCCCTGCCCATGGCAGGGGGTTGAAACTGGATGAGCTTTAAGGTCCCTTCCAACCCAAACTATTATAAGATCCTATAAAATACTCTGGCAGGGTCAGGTACAAAAGTTGTTGATAGATAAAGCCATCAGTGCCCTGTTGCCTGGCTGGGTATGGGTGGAGTACAACTTGTTCCACTTCAACCCCAGGAAGAAAGTGACACAGTGACACTGGTGGTACTAACCTGGGTTGTTCCCATCCCTTCACTGACCCACAGCAGTTGCTACAAGAACAGGCGGTACCTGAACCAGCCATTTCCTCCAGCGAGTCCAGGTCTGACCCATCAGTCTCATCACCCAGCATCACTGTAGAGAGCGTTGGCTTCACAGGGAGCAGGCTGAGCTGCTTCCCTCTCAGCATCACTTCTGAGCTGGAATGCAGAGATGGGTCAGATGCAGGGTTGCTTTGGCATCCCTCTTCCCCACTCTTGAAGCAGAGGCAAGGAAGCTCTGTGATGTTCTGGACCATGATCCAGCCCTGAGGAGGGCATCCCGTGGAGAAACCTCATGGTCCCCATGGACTTGGACAGGTCCATCACACCCACGGACTGCAAACACATTGCTGCTAGCATCTCAACAAATACACCCATACCTTGTCTGTGTTTGTTATTGCTTTGCTTGAGTTTAAAACCTCAATCTGGCTTTCTCTTGCTCTTGGAGCAAATAAGTAACTTCTTTTCTTTACCTGCTCTTGGTCACAGGTGAGCTCCTGTTCTCTGCTGCCAACTCATATCCTCTTACAGTGTGTCTTCTGTGCATCGTCTGCAAGCTTTTATTTTACAACTTTATTATTTTTGCTCCAAAACACCAAGAGAGTTTGTTCATCCCCTTGCACAGGTTCTGAGGGGGGAAGAAGGAGCCAAACACCAGAGGGAAATGCCCCTTGTTTGTGTCCAGCACCACATGGTGAGTACAAGCCCTCAGGTCTGACTTTGCTGAGTTGTTTGAGTCAGCCCAAACAATCAGGGAGACTCCAGTTTGTTTCCAAGCAAAAGCCTCTGTGGTGCCACATCACCCATCACTCAGCACTTTCCAAAGGCACTGCTGTTTGGGAAGCATGCAGCATACCTTAGGGCCAGATTTAGGGTCCTTGGGCACTGCCTGCCTGGGCATCAAAAAGAGATGGTGGGACTCACCTACTTCGTGGGACAACTCGGTGGGGTCTGCTGGTCCCCATAGTGCCCCAAGGAGTCCTTGAGGGGCTGTACTTGGAGAGGGCTCTGCTCCAAGACGCAGGGTGAGGGATCACTGTGGCTTCAGGCTCTACTGCAGCTGGTATACTCATGGGCTTTGACCCACGAAGGGACCTGGGGGTCTTCAGGCTTTGAGCTGGAAAGCAATATTGAGAGCAGGGAGAATCACCACCCATTTCCTGATAGTCCTTGGAGGCTGCCCTTGGAGGAGCCATGCAGCCTACCCAACATGGGGCTGTATAGAAAAAGAGGGCAAAAGGGATTTGCAAGCTCTGCCAGACCTGTGTTTCACTCTGCTGGGGCTTTTGGGGACAGCTGATATTTTTTCCTGAATATGTCAGAACAACCCACATAGGTCAGTATACAGAGAGAAATTGCAGAGACTTGCATCACCCAGAATGCCTTTTCCTGCCTTTCTCTGTCATGTTGCAAGAAGACAGCATCCCATGGCCATCAGTGGGTGGCCACAGATCCCCACTGTTGGTACCTAGAGGGGACAGGAGGTCACTGTACCTGGGGTGGCAGAGAGCTGCTGAGGCAAAGCACTGCTGGACTTCTTGCATCGCTTGACTTTCTCCATCAGTGCTTGGACCAACTCATCCCTCAGGTGGAGGAGACCAGGAAATTTCACAGCCTTCTGTTGCTGCTGAAGCCTGACCAGAGCCTGGAGTCTTTTGTAGGTCCGAGTGGAGATTCCCATTGCAACCTAAAGCAGAGGGCAGCTGAAGAGCCTGGCATTGTCCTCCCACAGCACCAGGGTGGGGGGGAACAAGACCTTGGCAGAATTACCCATATCTCAAGAGCATCCTGCAAGCTCCGGGCCCTGTCTAAAACCCAAGGACCCTCTCACCAGCCCTGACACCTATCATTTCGCTGGCACAATGTAGCCCACATTTGCAAAGCCCTCACCTGCTTTGGTGAAAGACTGCTGAAGAGTAAATCTCAGTTATTTGGGGCAATTTCTAGGCTACAAGGTAAGTAAGTGCAGCATTTTCTCTTAGCATGTATTTGTATCTCAAGGAGGTTCTGTGGCCATAAATGTCCTGGGCTTCTAGAGGTGTGAAATGATGAGAAGGGTGAATGGGGGTGTTAGTGAGTCTGGCTTTGGGCACCTCCGCTGCTTTAGATGCCACTGCATCAGTTCTCCCAGATAACATGCTAGGGAAATGGGGGACATGCCAGGGCTCCAGCCTACATGAAATGAACCCAGGAGTGCTCCTTAAAAGCACCTCCAGAAAGCAATCACACGGGAAGTCATTCAATAACCTCTTTGTCTTTGTGCCTTCAGGACCTAAACCCAGAAATGCTGCCTTGATCAGAAATATGGGTCGATGGATTAATGTGGATCCCTGCTGCCTGCCTGCTCCCTGCCCTTGCACCGACTCTGCAAGGTGCTAGGTGGTGGTGTTGCATTGCCAGGAGCTCGGGAAGTAAGTACTATTTAATATGCTTGGCATGAAAAGTACTTGGGCAGTGAAAGTCCCCTTGAAATCCCCATGACAGGGGCTGCTGTGCCCTCAAACACCCTCCTTCCCTAGAACAGAGGGAGGCCTGGGTAATTTAGCATATGAAAGGCTGCTTGTGAGAAAGATTTGCTGGAGAGATACTAATAACCAGCCTCAGAGATGGGAGCACGGTGGTTTATTCCCTGTGCTACTGTGTGATTCTGCCTCCACCCTCCCATTTGCCTCTCAGAGTGTCATTGCTCCAGATGGGGATTACTTTTCTTCTTTTACTGACTGTTAATATCTCGGTTGCTCTCCCCCTTGAAAAAATTAATCAGTTCAGAGCAGTTGTTGTGTTCCTGCACTGGGCTGGCACTGCAAACGCTGGCACAGAAAGGGCAGACTTACCCTCTTGACACCCATGCTCTCCAGCTTTTCCTCCAGCACTCCTTCCAGGATGTGGCGAAACTGCTTCAGGAGATTTGGGTTTCTCCGCAGGGCTTCCCGCAGCCTATGCTTCACATCCTGGATGGCCTCCTCGCTGCCTGGAATAAAGGCAGGTGGTGCTGGTACTAGTGCAGTGATGCACTGGCTGTGCCCTGGGAATGGGGCTGGTGGGATCTTTCTCCTCTTTGCAGACGCAGGTCCCACCAGCCCCAGAGCAAGCAACTGTTTGCTCTCAGCAAACTACATCCCTCTGAAAAGGGGGAACTTTCTCCCCTAATTTGATTAATCCCTGTCCACAACTTCTCTAAAATCCCACCTATGTCCAAGTAGCTGCCTGGGACAGTTTTCCCATTGGCAGCAGGGCTGGTCATGGTGCTGTTGTAGTCTGTACAACAAAGAGGAGAACAGTAAACTCACCCTGTCTGCCCCCAGCCCATCACCTCAACACAGCCAGCTTTGCACAGCACTGCTTGTCCTCCCTGCACAACACCTGAAGCCAAACACCAGTTTCATCCTGTTGCTCTCAGAATAGGCATGGTTCAAACTCTGGTACCCACCTGCTGACTTTTCATCAGCTTCCACTTCGGTCACCTCCTGGGTCACTGCAGGGAAGAAAGCAGACTGAGAGAGTCAAAGAGGAGCTGAGGCCCCAGCACAGAAGCAAGTCTTGACTGCCACCTGCTTTTCCTATACAGAAAGTATGGACACAAGTGTTCCTTCAGCTCAGGTCTGGCACCATCCCTTGGATACCATTTCCAAGGGAAAACCCAGGGCGCTTTCTCACCAAGACTGCTGACTGGATTATGTCAGTGGGCAAACAGCCATCTTCAGGGCTCAGGTCAGTGATGTACCCCTTGAGTATTTGCTAAGAGCCATCCCTGGTTTATGTTTTCTGAGCAGCATCACCTGGCTGGATCTCCAGCTGTGCTGCAGGCATGAGGAAGATGAGAAGTCCCCACTTTCTTTCCCTGGCACTTGATTATAGAAAACCCAGACTGTAAGGAAGAAACCACAACATGCTTCAGCTCCTTGTTTTTATGCAAATAACCACTGGCTTAATTTTGGAGGAAGCAAGGTCATCTGCTGTGAGTACTTGATTGAAAGCTCATTCCTTTGGGGTATAGTTATAATGCAAAACCCACCTAAGAGACAAGTTAGTTTTGTGCAAGCAATCAGAGCTGTGCTGTATGCTGTTGCAGCAGGTCATCAAGGGACTGAAAAGTGTCCACTCCATGAGAGGGCAGACAGCCAGCTCCCTGGAGAAGACTTCATGGCATGCTTTTGTAGAGAGAGACAGAGAAGAAATTGTGGTCTGAAGGGCTGTTAGCTATGGAAAACTTAGGTAGACAGAAATTGATTCACTTTAAAAATGCAGTCATTACCTTCAGGTTTTCTGGCAGAGAGCAGCTTGATCTGTAAAAAAATAGACTGTGCATCATTCAAAGATCATTTCTTTGTCTATAATTTTGGGTAATTTTTCCTCTCTCTAGAAAGTATTATCATTAAATGCATTCAAAAAAGCAGCAGAAAATAGCAAGAGCCTAAAGTGGGCAGATACACTCCCCAAGAGCTATTTCCATTAAGGAGACCATGTAAGAGGTCAGCTTAGGGACTTTCCCTTCCGTAATATGATTGCTAGCACATCAGATGCCATTCTGTTACATATATGTGTTATCTGCAGATCTGATGCAATTGCAATGCAAAGTGTTGCTCTGGTGACCTACACCCTGGTGAGCATGATTTGTGCCAATGATACTCATGTCATACTTCATGTTTAATGAGTGCAAAAATAGCCAAATGTAGCAAAGCATTACAGAATAGGGTTGAAATTAGGCTTAGTCTTGATTCAGTAAATGTTTTAAGGTTGCTTAAATACCTGCTTAAACCTTCCTGATGAACCGAGACCTTGTTCTTTTTTATTTTCACTTTCCTTCTTCTCCTGGGACTTGGTGAGTCTGGGCTGCTCCCTGAGGTGGGTGCTGAGGGCATCCATTTGCTGATGGACACGGTCCATAACTGCCCACTGGTCCTGGGATGGGGTGTCACAGGGTGTCTTGTTCTTTTTCTTCAATTAAAAGGGGCAAAAAATTAACAAGGAGACTGAACATGGTAAAAATAGGTCTGGAGCCACCTCTTCCCTTCTCCAGCAAGGGCAGCTCTCTGGATTTTTTATTCATTATTAAGATGCCTTCCAAGAGACAGATCTGGCTTTGCAGAAGAGGTATGGCCACCTTCAAAGTCTGCTGGTGGCAAGCTTATGTCTTCTCATCAGCTGTGACAGGACGTGGCTTTGGTCTCACTGCATTTCTTTTATTCTTTCCCTTCATAACATGGCTTTGAAGTCCAGCCAAGGCTTATTGGAAGTGTGTAGCCCTGCTTTTTCTTCCTACCACTTACTGGGGTGGTCTTGCGGAGAGAGCATCTCCAGTTCTTCTGAAAAGACCTAAAATCTCTGGATTTGAACCATAAAGAAAATGAAGCCTTTTCTGAGTGAGGTGCTTGGGAGCTGGCAAGGACATCTGGCACCTGTCTGGACTTCCTGTGTGCTGTTTTTCCTGTGCAAGTCCTTCAGTTCCTACTTCTGCTCTGCCCTCTGCCAAATGAAATACATGGGCTTTTTGCTCCTTGGCTTGTGGACTGGGGGCATCCACGCTCAGAGAAATTCAGCTTCCCTTTGGGTACTGAAAGAAGGTTGGCACCATAATGGCAGTGCTGTTCCTAACTCACTCCATGCTCAGGGGTACCATGTACAATAAAGGCTTCTTCAGATCTTTTTAGACATTGAGAAGGAGGCTGATTGCTCCTATTTAAGTAAATAAATGTATTTTGTTTATTTAAGTGCTTTTCTATATGGTGAACTTCTGCAGTGTTCTGGTGAGGATGGGTTTCCTTGCAATAAACAGGGCTGACCTGGGACTGTGACATGACATCTGCACCCTTCAGGACCCATTTCTGGACTCAGACTGTCCATGCTGTACACCCGTGTGAGGCCGTTGCTACCTGAATCTGAGCTAAGACCAGACAAAGCAGACGCACAGAGGTGCATGGATGTGGGTCCCTCTCCATCCAAATGCACCTCCTGGGATGCGCAGTAAGGACACAGGTACAGCACTACTCACCTGCACCGCCATCCTCTCCCTCTCTGCCCGGCCTGATGCCTGCCACCATGCCTCCTCGGTGTCATCATCCCTCAGGGTTCCCAGGTTGGACTCCAACACCTCTCTGGCATGAATCTCCTGCAGTTTCTGGAGTGGAGAGAGCAAGGAGCTGTGTGTTGCACAGGAGGCTTCACTTTCCTCCTGGGGAGCCCAAACTTGGCCAGCCACTGCTTCTGACCCCAAAATACTTATGTACCCCAGGAACTAGGAAATGAAGCCTCTTTGGGTTGTGAACCTGTGATGCCACCTAGACCAGATGAAGCAGAAGTCTTGGATGTCCCCTCGCCTGCTTGTGCTTGCTTACCCCCTCCATGACGCTGCTCTTGCTTGCCATGTCTTTGAATGCTGTGAGGAAGAGCTGCTTCAGGCCATCTATCTCTTCATGCAGCTTTGTCCTCTCCTCCTCCTTCCACCTTTCCAGGTATTTCCTGCCTTCTTCTTCTCGCTGGCAAGCTCTCTCTGTTTCCTAAAGGGAAAAATCAGGGCAGGACATGTCTTGGCTGCAGAGCAGAAGTACCAGAGGCTGGAGCTTTTGCCCTGGTGCCAGTGGTATGAGCACCAATGCTTTCATCACTCCCATCGCTGCTCAGAACCTGCCTGCACGCCAAGGGGAGTTCGAGGCAGTACAGCCTCCTGGGCAGGCATGCTTACACTGTCCTTATTTCCATGTAACATTTCCCCTAGGAACTGGGGGGAAGGGAGCAAATTTTCCAAAGAAATAAACACAAGACCCGCCATAAAATATTTTGCAGCAGTTTTTTTCACCTGTGATTTAAAAATGTCTTGCATTTCATCACTCCTCTTCCCACCCCATCTTTTCCAGATAGTCAGCAGTGCCCTTTCCCCATACCTGCTCCCTGTGCAGCTTCTCCACTTTCCTCTCTGCTTCCAGCTGCTGCTGCATCTCCCTCAATTTTGCCTTCAGCTCCTCCACCTCTTCCTCCATTTGCTCCACTTCTTTCATCTTCCTCCTCTCTGCAAAGCTCAGGGGAACAGAGATGCTGTGAGCAAGGGTGTGATCTGTCAGCTCCTACTAGGGTTTTGGTTTGGGTAAGGTGGAGAGTCCTACTGAAGCAGTATAGGGTTTCAAAGTGGAGAAGCAGGTAACTGAGCTGCAGAAGTGACCATGACAAATGTGACCCTGTGGCCAGCAAATAGCAAAAGCAGCTTTTTTGTCTGCCAAGTTCAAGTGTTGGATGCAGGTGAAGCTGTAACAGGCCCCTTGCCTCCCAAACATCGTGTTGCACTTGCAGTTTTCGATGTGTTTTGCAAAGGAAGCATCGATTTCTTGCAAAAGAGGGGCATGGGAAAGGTGAACCCCTCTCCCATTCCAGAAAAACACACTCCCAAGCTCCCCAAAGGAGCTCTATCCCATGGAATATTTGGGTGTAGAAGATCCTTAGGGAAACCGGGGCATAGAGATGTAAATGCACCGCAGTTTTGTATTTGACTGTATGTCCTACCTATGCTTGAGGGAAATGCCGTAAGCAGAAAGCATTTAGTCAGTGTTCACAGAAATGCAGAAGAAAGGAGTTATAAGAAGTTATCTGTAACATCCTATGGTCACTCTGGTGGAAAAACCTGCCTGGAAAAGAGAGGGGAGACTTTGTTCCAGTGCTCACCCTTCTCGGTGGTCTCTGCGTGCCGTCGCTGCACATGGGCTTGCAGGAAGGAGCTGTTCATGAAGGCTTTATCACAAAGGTGGCACTGAAGAAGGGGAGAAGTCAGTGGAGGGACTGTAATCTGCAGAAAAGGGCACTCCCCATGTCCCTCCAAGGCAGGCAAAGCTTTGCTGCTTTAAAGCAAAAGGGAGGGCCTCAAGAGACGTGGCTGTTGTGTTGGAAGCACATAGATGGACGGAGGGTATTAGGAGTTTCTTCTGTCTGAAACCAAAGGAGAAGGCGGAAGCCAAGATGGTCCAGGGAAAACGGCTGTTTTCCCCAACAGAATAGTGCAATAATTGCAATCACCAAGGCCCTGGTTATAATGGGGTCATTTGCTTGCAAGGATTATTGGGCTGTATGAACCTAAATCATGTGGTTTGGGTGCTTTAACTCTCCAAGAGCGAGCAGATTGATTTGGTGAAGGCGAAGCAGTGGACACAAAAGGCACATCCAGCAGGCTCCCTGCTGAAAGGGTGGGAAAAGCTGGTGGGGGTTAAGAGCAAAATCATCACCAAATGCAGGAGCATCCAGAAATCTTTCACTGGAGAATTCTTAAAGTCTCCCTAGCACGAGGTATCCTCCAGGACACAGGGATCTCCCGAAATCTCCCTATACAGACCTCTTGTCCTGCATTCTGTGCAACTCTGACTACCTGTAGCTGTCCCCTCATGAAAGGAGAGGTTCCCTCTCAGCTGGCAGTGACTTTGCAATTGCCATGAAGGAGATGAACCAGCACCAGGGAAGGTAGCAAGGCCAGGGAGAGCAGCTCCTCTGGGGCCAAGGTGTAACCACAGAAGGGTACAAATACAGCATACAACAACGAGCATCCTGTACGGGGACGTGTTCTACATCCCTTACACCTTTCCATCACACACCTTGCAATAGATGTTGGGGCCAGCTTGCAAAAGGGGCTGCTGTATGGCAAGCAACTTCTTCCATCTTCTGCTCTCCTCTTTTGACACTTGGAGCTGCACTGCCTGCTCTGCTGCCCGCTGCTGGGTGGAAACCAGCTCTGCACGGGCAGCTTCCAGGCGCTGGGTGTGCACGGCCAGGCTGGTCCCCAGGCGCTCCTGGCAGTGCAGGAGGTACTCGATGCTCAGCTGGGCCATCCTGAGCACCTTGAGCAGGACGGGGTCTGCCGGCTGCCCACAGTGGGGGCACCGCTCCCCATCCAGGTTACAGAAGGTGATGCTGGCAATGTGCTCCTGCAGCACAGCCACGTCCACCTCCCTGGCCACCCGCTCCACATCAATGGCACTGAAGCGACGCCAGTCCACACTGATCCGGCGGGGCTGGAAGTGGAAGGGGGGGATGTCCACTGGGATGGTGAGCCCTGGAGATGCCCCCAGCATCCCTGCAGCCCCAGTCATGAGCTGGTGGAGTGGGTGGTAAAAGTCTGTAGAAAAGTGCTGGAAGGCAAAAGGGAAGGTTTGGTTAGGGCTGACTCCCCAGGTCCACAGCAGCCCCCACCAGCCTGCACCCAGTGTGGGAACTGGGGAGAGGGTTGGAGCGTACCTTATGTAGCAACAAACAAAAATCCTTTTCCTTTTCTATTCCCATCCTTACTACCTGCTGCCTTGCCAAATTGTGAAATACAGAAACCCTGCCAGTTTGTTCACCATCTGCTTTTGGTAAGGGAGACTTCTAAAACTGCCAGATTGGAACTCTTTACAATAACCCATTCTGAAGGAAGCTGTAAATCCCCCATGAGGGTACCTGTTTTAGGGAAACAGAATTAGCCTGTTTTGAAAAAAATACACAATGAAAACTGGATATGCTTTAGTATCACAACAGTCTGCTGCGTTCTGTGGTGCCTTGCTCTGACCTAAACCTAAATCACTGCAAGAAGCAGCGTTTGCTCATTTTCCTAGTAGTATCCTAAATAATAATTAAACAAATATAGTTAAAATACATAATTTTAAATCTGTGAAATAGACCTATGTTGTTCTTAGTCTCTAGGCAGAGATTTGCTGCTGCTGTTTCTATTTCTGCTCTGCTACACCCCCCTACCACATTTAAGATAGTTCATTTTTTATTGCTGAAGGGCCACTTACCATATTTTTGGGTGCAGATGGGGTACCTACACAGCCTGAGTGCCCCAGGATGTTGAGCAAGCAGCCAGGGTAGTGTTGGTGTATTGGTGTGTTGCTGGGTGTGCTGTGTACAATGGTAACAGGAGTCCCAGCCAGCCTACTGAGCTGCAACACGCATCCTGCCCAGCCTGCAGCTACTGCTGTGCTTCCAAACAAACAGGGTCAGTCAACCCAAGGAGGTGCCGAATAACTGCGTGCATGGTGCAAGAAAGGCAAGCTTTCATAGGCTGTGCTCTGCTGAGTCAGAGGAAGAAGGGGCAGTGGCTGTCACTGCCTGTTCGCAGCAGGAAGAGTGCCCAAACCCAGCTTTTTTTCCCCTAATTTCAGTCCTCAAAATGCTGTTTGCAAGTGGGAGGCTTCAAGGCTTCCACTTGCCAGCTTTTCTCCAAGGCTTGGCCCTACCAGGCACACAGGGTGATGGTGGCATAAACAGAGCTGCGCAAAGGGCTACCAGGCTGAGCCAGCCTTCCATGGGCTTACCAACTGAGAGCCCAGCAGAGACACTTTCCATGGTGCCTGCATATGTGCTGGGATAAAATGATCCTGTTCCCAAGTTCTTTTGATGCTAAAACAGTCACAGGATTTCCCAGGAGTTATCTGGGGTTGCACAGGGTGGAGCTGCTTAATGCTGATACTGCAGCCAGTGATGTCTGCAAGCCAGTGAGCATTTTCCATCCCACAGGACTGTTTTTCCACCCCTACCCAGCATCTTCACTACACTCACTGCTGGGGTTGCTTCATCTGTGTGGTGTTTCCTATATTCTTACAGGGCTGTTTTGCTCAGTCCAGCTCAGCATCATTCAAACCTATTGCAACTCTGCAAAGTCCTCTGTCAGGGACACAGGGTCCGCTCCTGCCCTATGTAAGCTCGTTCACATCTCTGTCTCTCTCTAGTCTACTTTGTCAGGTCATCTGGTACCTTTGCCTCTAGTCCCATCCCCAATCAGGGCTTCTCCCTGCTGCATGTAAATACTAAGGGCCAATGACTGTTCTGAGCCAGTCTGGATCAACTTGGGTGGCTCTTTTAAACACGTTTTTAGGCTCTACACCAGTTTCATGGTACCCTCTCTTCTTTCTCAACCTTCTCTCATGTATTCCACTGCCAAAATATGGTAGGAGACAGGAAAGCCTTAGAGGCTGCAGCTAACTCGGGAAGAGGTCACATACCAGTGAGACAGAGCATGAAAACCTCTGGGAACAGTTGTGTATCAGTATGACATTGTAGTTAACCATAGTTTCCCTGTAGGGGTTACTCAGTTATTTTTCTTTTATGGTGCCTACCCAAAACCACCAGCTTAGCAAGCCCCTTCCCTTCCAGGTTTGTATGGCCAGCAAACATCATCATTGTTGTCCCTGATATGATATATATATATACATATACTGCAGCAGCACTACAGTGTCAAGCAACCCAACCCATTGCATCAGGCGAAGTGAAGTGTACATATATATACATGTATTCATATATGTGTATATGTGTGTGTATGCCCAGGTTTAAATACAGCCCTGACTCATAGATGCATGTTGCATAGACCTGTTGGGTAGTGGTGCATGGCCCCTGCAGGGAAGGTTTTGTTACATGAATTAACTATAAAGGAGGGGTTTGCAGGCACCATTAATTAAAACTCCCCTAAGGATATACTGCATCCCCCAGGGCTCTGTTGCCCAACTTTGTTAATATTAACGAGGTCTCCAGGCACCAAAGCCAGCTGTGTTTCACCCAGCCCTCAATGCCAATCAATCACAGCAATCACAGTTACTCAATGCCTTCAATCATAGCATTGCTGTGATTGCCCCATCTCCTCCTTCAGGTGCCTTTTCTTACAAAATGCTATATATATGGGGTCTCAGACAGCATAGCCATGGCTTCAGCAGGAGGTTGATTGGAAGGTAAAGCCACTACATTAGGGAATCTGGGAAGCCAGCTCTGGAGACTTTGTTTTTCCTCTTCAATCTTTGCCTGCGTTTGCCTGGGAGAGTACTCCGCTGGTGTGAAGTAGTAAAAGGTATTTTGACTTCCATGATGTACTGTAATGCAATGTCAGTTGGTGCAATGGAGGGGCTGGCAAAAGTTGTCTTAGTCACCCACAAGGGAAATGTTCAAAGTATTCCTTCACTAGGACTGAGATTTTGCCACTGGGTGACAAAGATATCAGCCTTGAGGGGTGCAGGTCCATTACAGAGGGAACACCCTGTACCACCCAGCAAGAGCTTAGAGCTGAAGGTGGTCACCTGCACTGTTTCCACTCTAATGTGCAAAAGCCAGCTGCACCACAGTGCTGGAAGAGCTGGGTCTCAGAAAACATGACGGGCTTTCATTTCATTCCAGGCTGGAAGATGGTGAGTTTTCTGTCTCAGCTCACAGCTGCTGGGCCAAGCTGCTGGGTGGTCCTCTTCTCTGCAAACCTCAGCCTTTGTCAAAGAAATTTCTCCTCATTCCCTTCTCTTCTGCCTTTCCCCACTGCCACCCTGGGGCTTTCCTCACATTTCTGAGCTCTTTAAGGGCTTCTTTTTTACTCTGCAAATCTAAAGGTGCCCCAGGTGCCAGCATCTCTCTGCTGACCTGGGAGCCTGCAGACTTTGGGAGGCACCTTACCACAAAGGAGAGAGTTCTCAGGGGACTCAGACTCACAAGCTGCTTCAGCAGCTTCACCACTTCCTCCAGACCCTTCCCAAAACCTGTCATCACCTCCCTCTTTTTCAGCTTCTCTTCTTGCTAAAAGGTAAGCTCCTGGGGCTCATATGGGGTGGGTGCAGGAGAAACGCTCCCATACAAGACCTTTGGGGAGGTTGGCTGTTCTTGCTGCCATAAGCTGTGCTTTGTTAGAATTCGTGGCTGTGCACACAGGCAGGAGGGAGAAGTGGGAAGGGCTCAGACCTCATCTGAGAGGAGCCGCTATGTAACACAGCAGAGCCTCGGAAATACTTCTCGCCTGAGCTCATCTGCAAAGGGAGCTCCAGTGGGTCAGGTCTCTGTCCAGCCCCCAGCCCTGTCCCTCCCTTCGACGGACACAGCCTGTGCCCAGAGTGGGGTGCATGGAGAGTCGAGCCACGGGGCAGAAAAAGGCCGATACTCACTTGCTGCTAAACTGAAGAAGGGGGGTGAGGACCGGATCGGAGCTATGGCTGTGTGCTGCGAGAAGGGCTGGGAGCAGCTGGGGGCTGTCTGAAGCTGAAACAGGAAGAACTTCATGAAGTCACTGAAACGTGTAGATGTGGCACTTAAGGATGTGGTTTTATGGTGGAGTTGGCAGTGCTGGGTTAATGGTTGGACTCAAATGATCTTACAGGTCTTCCCCAAGCTAAACAATTCTATTATTATATGATTTTATGGGCTGAAAACTTAAACCCCTCCCCTGAATCCCCTCAGCCCAGGGAAGTCAGAGTCAGAGGAAAAGCAGGCAAACACCCCTGTAATGGGGAGACGGGACAGACATGACACGCTAAACCAGTGTGGACGGCACCAAGGTGTGAAATTGATGTCCTCGGGCTGATCCATGAGAGCTTCACCCGAGGAAAGGGAACAGCAAAGTGCATAATGCCCTTGTGTGCAGAGGGCTTTCTTCTCCCAATTAATCCTGCTGCCATTTCTAGATGCAGAGTATAGGCTGCTGATTGCAGCATGCTCATTAGCTCCAGTGTTTACAGAAGATAGCATTGTGCAGATGGCAAACATTCCATGACGGGTGACCGATACACCTCCGCCTTTCTGTTTCCGAGCTAAAAACAGCTGTTCAGGCAGGCTCAGAAGAGATTTGCAAGCTGGCTTTCTTTATAGGGGGTTGGGTGGATCTGGAATTACCCTGGGAAAAAAGTAAATGCAGTGGGATGCCTGGCCTTCCAGAAGGAGGTGGCCAGTTGGGGGGGGTGTGGGAGGATGTACAGGTGGACAAGGGTCCAAGAGCTGCTGCACCTCATTTCCAGGGTAGTTGAACTCCATTTATTTCAGAGGGGTTTGGGAGCCCTGAACAGCCATCCCAACCCTTTCTTGGTGCCTCAGCATCTCCCTTCCAGGGGGACATGTGACTCTTTGCAGCTTGAACTGATGTCAAAGGATGGGGCAGTGCAGCCCCTGACTGTAAGGAACCCAAATAAAACTGCAGGAGCACAGACATTGCTAGAATTGGAGTCATTTTCCAGGGCCATGCAGGGAAAAGTAAACCCAGAGAAGTGGTGGTTTATTAAGCATTTTATTTTCACTTGCACTAGTATGGTCCCTCTCAAAAACGTAGGGTGAAAAGTGTGTGAGAAAAACACAGGTTAATGAAAAGACAGGGATTTGGGCTTCTCTTCATTAGCAATTGCTGTCATTCATCCTCTGCTATTACATTTGCATTACATTTGCTTCAGAGGCTTCAGCCCAGTCCAAAGCCTGTTGTCTTTGCAGCTTTTCTGACATAGGTAGGTAGCCAATATTGCCGAGAGGTGCAGAGATGGAATTCTTCCCAGGAGGCTGTGCACCTCCTTAGGAACTTTTCCCTTAGAAAAGCTCACTACTGAGGCCTGTGAGTCCATTTGATTCAGGAAGGTTTGGTTCATGAGCACCTGTAAGGAGAAAGAATTGAGGTAAAATTGTCCTTAGTGTCACTGGAGGCTATGCCTGATAGATATCCATCACCATTCTGCCCATGCATCTTAGTATCCCAAGGGAGTACCGATGGTGGTTAGGAAAATGTCTGTCTTTCTCCTACAAAGCCAGCTGCTGACACCAGTGGTGACTGTGTTTCGGCCCCAGGATGGGGAGCACTTTGAAGGATCATCCCCCTTCCTCCTTACACCATGTCAGTGTCCTCATAGAATGTGAAATTTTCCAGCTCTGCATTTTCTATCAGGTCCTCGTATGTGGTGGGGCAGTAGGCTTTATACAGTTTCTCAGCCAAAGTGTTGCTGCCTGCAATCACAGCTTTCCGGTTGTGGTTCATGAAGTTCCACAAGTGCAGAGCGTAGGAGTGGCTGAAATTGGGGCTTTTGTCCCACACCTCATAGTACCGGCCCCAAGCTGGATATGGTATCGGGTAGAAACGCTGGGGATTGAGGAAGGAGATGTTCTGGCAGCTGTGGTCCTCAGTGCCTTTGAAATCTGTGAGATTGCAAATTGCCTTGAGCATCCGTGTCATTAAAAAGGGCCCCTGGTTACCCCAGATGTTCCCATTGTACTTGAGAACAAAGTTCTCCATGCAGTCCCAAATAAATTTGTGGTGGGCAGGGAATCCAAAGATCCCATTGCTGGAGAACTGTGACTTCTGTGCTGCTAGGAAGCTTTCCTCAGGGATGGGCCTGATGGAGATGACATCTGTGTCCATGTAGATGCCCCCATACTTCCAAATGAGTGCCAGTCGGCTGGCGTCAGAGCTGACATGGACCCAGTTCTTCTCCAGCTCTGGGACTACCTGCAGAGTTGGAAAGGTCAGACAATGATGGCACTGGCAGAGAACAGACCACATCCATCCATTGGGCTGCAAATGTCACCGTAAAACTGCACCTGCACTCCTGCAAATGTCGCTCACTGCCTTCTCTTCCTCCAGCTATTGAATTGTATTGGTACAAGATAAGGGGGCAGTGCAGAGCAATGCTTTGTTAATAGAAATGAATGCAGGAACTTTTCACATGTATTTTGTGGGACCTACAAGGTTAAATCAATGATACTATGATTCATTGCCTGCTATTTCAGTGGGACACAACCCACTTAACACACTCCCTCATCACTCCCAGCTCTTTGAAACAGGCTGGAGGGTTTTCATTTGCACTGTTGGTATTTGGATTTATTCTTTCTCAGGAGAAGGAAGAGTTTGGAGGAAATGTGTCTGCCCTGCACATAGATCGAGCCAAACTAACTTGACAAAAGCTACTTCCAAGCAGTTTCCCAGGAACTTCTTTCCAGGGTGCAAGATCCCACCTCGGTTTGCATACTGCGAGTACAAAACCTGAAATCTCTTCCTCATCTTAC